GCTTGGTTATATTGTTAGCTAATCATTATGTTTACTTGTGACAGTTCTTTGATGGGGTTGTTGGTGACATTGCCATCGTGACAGATCGGAAAAGAAATGTAGAATTTACACAGCCATATGCTGCATCTGGACTTGTTATATTAGTCCCAGTTAGGGAGTTGAATACAGGTGCTTGGGCTTTCTTAGGACCGTTTTCTCCTGCACTATGGGGTGTTACTGCTGCTTTATTTCTTATTCTTGGAATAGTTGTATGGGTTTTGGAGCACCGAATTAATGATGAGTTCCGCGGTCCACCAAAGAAGCAACTGATAACCGTTCTATGGTGAGTTCAATCATACAAGATTTGATAGGGAATACGTATGTTTATTAAACTACCATCCAAAATAGCAACTGATGACTGTCAAATTTATCGATCTATTTTCCGAGTTAAAATTCTTTTGTACTGGAACTAATAAATTTTAATAACCAGCTTAATTCTGCATCCATGTTAATATCCCTAATACCCAATTGGTAGAACTTCCTTTCAGTTACTCTTGAAGTTATGAACTTCAAGAATGGAGTAAAAGACATCTAGCACCATTCTTCGAGTCCACTGTCAAAGACCATCTGAACTCATGCCTCCTGTTGTTCTTCAGTTACCTTTCTCCTGATATTAATTATTAGTTTTTGGAGAGTCTACTACTTGGAGAAAAACCTTAATCATGTCAAGTTCTTTTGATGGACAAAAGTACTTAATAAAACTGCATGGATGTATGCCAACTCTCTTCCTTGGCAGGGGGTCCTTTTTCCTGGATGGATAAAAGGTTACTTCTGAATAATTGATTAATTTCCTTGATGTAAAAACGTCAAAAGTAGCTGATTTTATCACAATATGTCAAAATTTACGAATTCTTGTAGCATAACTGGTTAGATAATGACCTTTAATTTTTTTGGTTGTCTGAGCATGCTGTTCTATTGCCATATTGGTGTCTGAGCCTCTGAGAAAAGGTATGCAGTGTTTTGATAATAGAAAGATGCATGGTCAATTACCAGTATTTCAACTTTTTGTGGAGTCTGATGGTTTAGTTTGGGTTTGTCATTCTTGACCAAAAGAACAGCAAACAGTTATGAAGAACCGGTTTCTCACACCCTTTTGCCTGCTTCTCCTGCAGGTTCAGCCTCTCAACCCTATTTTTATCACACAGTAAGTGAAAACTATGTCGGTGAATATTTCTTGTAATATTTTTCCACTACAATTGGTTCCTGATAGATAGATTTAACCTTCTGATGCTTTACTTTTTTGCAGAAGAGAAACCGATGAGTACTCTTGGGCGTATAGTGCTGATAATATGGCTTTTTGTTGTCTTAATAATTAACTCAAGTTACACTGCTGGTTTGACCTCTATCTTCACAGTTAAACAGCTCTATTCTCCTATCAAAGGAATCGAAAGGTTAAAAGATGGTGATGATCCTATTGGATACCAAGTGGGTTCTTTTGCAGAACATTATCTGACCAATGAAATTGGTATTCCTAAATCCAGGCTTAAAGCCCTTGGATCCCCAGAAGAGTACGCCACTGCACTTCTAAAGGGTCCGAAAAAAGGTGGTGTTACTGCAGTTGTCGATGAACGTCCATATGTAGAGCTTTTCTTGTCAAGCCATTGCAAGTTCAGGATTGTTGGTCAGGCATTCCCCAAAAGTGGCTGGGGTTTTGTGAGTAACATCTATTGTTCTGCTTGCGCATTTGTGCACTTTGACGAAGATAATGTTTGTTTATTTCGTTGTCTTCTATTTGTTTCCCAGTGCCCTGTGAAACCTGCTTATGATTGGACTAAATCCAGTTTCAAAAATTCCTCGATGGCTAATTTCTTGCATCTTTATGTAGGCATTTCCACGGGACTCCCCCTTGACCATTGACTTATCAACAGCAATTTTAACACTATCAGAAAATGGAGATCTCCAGAGACTTCATGACAAGTGGGCTACGAAAAACTTGTGCACTACAGATGATACCAAGATTGAATCAAAGCGTCTTCACCTGAGAAGCTTCTGGGGCCTATTTCTTATATGTGGGATAGTTTGTTTTCTTGCTTTCGTTATATACTTGTGGCAGATTATTCACAAGTATCGGGAATCTGTCGCTGTTGAATCTGCTTCTAATGGACAGGTTACCTCACATTCTAGACGCCTTCAAACTTTAATATCATTAATTGATGAGAAGAAGGATCAATCTAGAAGGAACCGAAAAAGAAGGAAGCTCGACAGATGACCATGTGCTGCTAAGTAAGAAGAATGAACTGCCCAGAAACTCTGAAAGGAGACTATCAGAAAATTCTTCTGAGAACAACATAATAAACTAGAGGAAGTGAAATCTGTTCACTGGTTAATATACTTCTATCTGTAAAATTCAATGTAATGTACTCATGTTTGTATCTTATGTGATGTTAGTAATTATGTGTAAATAGGGAAAGTAAATTGTAGAGTGTAGACAGTCTTCATCAAAATGTATATATGCATTTAGAAATTCGTTTTCTTGAATGAACTATGTTCATGTATGGCAACACATTTATTTTTTTCTTCTACTCTTTCTTTCAAGAATTACGGGCACGAGCACTGGGGGTTGAATGCAAATAACAAGCTGCCTGGGTAATGGGCATTAGCATGCTTTCTTTAACAGGTACTCTCCTTGTATGTTTTGCACAGGCGACTCTCCACTTCTCCCCTTTCCCTCTGTCATAACCATCAGCTCATGCATATTGACAGCTATGATCAGAATCCCATTCTTGGAGGCCATTGTGTATTTGAGTCAAAATCTTGATATTTAACGAAAAAGATGATGAAGAAAGTAAAGTCTGTTAAAAAACAATGCATGATTAAATTTACGGTTGCATCACAATTTATAGATTTGTAACAACAAATGATGTGATGAAATTTGATTCGATCAAAATCTCATCAACCAAATATATATTAAAAGAACACTTATAGATCAACTTATATTAAAAAAAAAAAAAAAAACACTTCGAAAAAAAAAAAGCAGGAAAAAGTAAAGCCTGTTAAAAAACAATTCATGATTAAATTTATGGTTGCATCACAATTTATAGATTTGCAACAACAAATGATGTGATGAAATTTGATTCGATCAAAATCTCATCAACCAAATATATATTAAAAGAACACTTATAGATCAACTTATATTAAAAAAAAAAAACACTTCGATAAGAATAAAGCAGGATTAAAGGGGGAAATAAAAAAAATAGTTGAGAAAAGTTGTTCGCCCATTGAAGCAGTAGGTGAGCTGGATTCAGAATGTCATGAGACAGTTCGGTTCATGTCTAGCGTGGGCGTTAGAGCATTGGGAGGACCTTTTCCTAGTAGAAGAGGATCGGAAAGATTTTTGCATATATGCCCAAATCGATCAATAATATCATAATCTGTTAAATTAGCTCTCCCTATCATGCTAGGATAGGAAATCCTATATTTTATATATCCATATGATTGCGTCGTATGACTTTCTTTTTGATACCTCATCAATCTGTAAAAGATAATGTAAATGATGATATACGACAAGTGTTTTCCATGTCATTTAATGAGTTTCAAACCGGGGTCTTGATCATTATTGTTATGCTCATGATTTTTATCAGTACATTATCGTTATTATGTATATATAGGGGAAGTATAATGTACATCGTAGACAGCCATGTATGGCAAGACATATTTTTTTCTTTCTTCCACCCTTTCTTTTAAGAATTACGGGCATCAGCATTGGTGATTGAACATAAATAACAGATACTCTCTTCATATCTTGCACGGGCGACTCACATTCGTTGGGTGTGAAAATCTCGATTTGTTTGCATTGCCAATAGCACTCTATCATGCAATGTGCATTTTTATTTCTGTCCTCTCATTGTGCCATAGCCATCAAAGCACACAAAATGACAGCAATAATCAGAATCCCACTGTTGGAGACTAAAGATGATGAAGAAGGTTTATGTTTAAGAATTGATTTGATTCTAATGCAGTGATGATGTAAAAAGGCTATGGATCTTCTCAACTATTTAAGGATAAGCCTGTTCATAAATGATGCACAATTTATGCCCATGTCTTCAAGTTTAACGTTTGATTCTAATGCAGTGATGATATAAAAAGTCATAGATCTTCTCAACTATTTAAGGATAAGCCTGTTCATAAACAATGCACAATTTATGTCCTTCAAGTTTAACATTTGAAAAGAAAAATTAAAATAAATAAATAAATTTTGCAAATGTGAAATAAAATCAATAATTTTTTTATTTTTTTATTTTTTTTGAAGTTCTATTGATGTTAATGTATCATTCTGTATTAATAAATTTCAAACTCGGTCATTATCATTATCGTTATGCTCCTCTAAATATAATTACTAGAAGATACATCAGACATTTTTATTTTACATTTTGCTATAGGAAGTGATATTGTGTAACTAGCAATCGTTTCACTAAACATGATGCTTATATACAGAAAATATGATCAAATCAATATTTACGGCTTTTTTGACATATCAATATGTAAATAAACCAAATAGTAAGTCGATTATATAATTGGAAGACGATGAACAAATAATTAATATAGCAGTTACTGTGACCCAAACCAGTCTGATATATCAGGAAAATGAAGACAGTCATTCACTTTGTTATTGTATAAAGTCATATCAAAACTCCGGAAAATCTACTACAAACCCGAACTTGACCGCTTTCTCTCACAAAGACAGATAAAATGAAAAGATTACGCATTAAAATGTGATAAAGTTTTGTGATGACTGTTAAACCCACGAAGGCAGGAACCCATTTTGACCATCCACTGATACTTTCCTCGTGTGTCTTCTTGCACAGGCAACTCTGCACCCGCTCTCGCAATCCCAGTGCGTAAAAATATCGATTTGCATGCATTCGGAATAGCATTCTATCATGCAATGTGTATTTGTATTTCTCTCCGCCCCTTCTGCCATTGCCATCAGAAAAAATGCGGACATAATGATGGCGATAATCAGAATCCTATTATTGGCAGCCATTGTGTGCTTTTGCCAAAAATCTTGATTATTAACAGCAAAGATGATGAAGAAAGTATGTTTGTAAGAACTGATTCTAATACACTGATGTAAAAGGCCAAATCTTTTCATCTATTTATAGATGATGAAAGGGTGTCTGTTGCCGTTTTCGTGTCTTTTCAGTTTTCAGTTTCAGAAAGAACACGCCTGTTCATAAACGACAGTTAAATTTATGACCATGATCTGGTTAATTAATGGACTTGAAGATTTTTATAGTTAATAATCTTTAAGAAATCATTATTAATCAGTGAAATTAATAGTATTTGACACAAAATAAACCTTCGTATTTTCTCTCTCTCTCAGTATGTTATCTTCTGTTGACATGGATATATTACATTTTTCAGTTGAAAAGCAAACTCATAGCACATCAAGCACTCGTTTCCCGGATCTTAAGATGGAGAAGGAAAAATATGTATAGATAGTAAACCACAGAAAAAAGAGGGTGAAAGCAAGAACACGCCTTTACCACGAGAGGAGGTAGCGAATCGATGGCGTCCCCGAGGCGTTTCAGGTCATCTTTGTGGCCAGCGACGGTTATCCCTAACCTAAAGAAAAAATAAGGAAAACGATACCTTCCGGCTTATTCTACTCTTTTCCGATAGGCCGAAAACCCAAATTGGCACTGGATTGTTGAAGCCCATGTGAATTTCTTTATTCAGATTGGAATTTTCAGGAGGAAGTCTGCTTTTCAAGATGGGGACGATATGGAACTACAGAACGGTAGCTCTTTCTTTGGGTTCTCTTAAATTTTTTTCTTTTATTTTGTTAATAGGCATAGATTTCATTTATTTGGATTTACGAATAGACAACAAATATTTTTCTTTAACAAGCTGCTCCCTTTCTACCTATTGAAAGGAGTGATGTTTTACTTCCTGCCAGAAGTCAACATACGGCCTGATGATAATTGATACAAACTGAGTTATTTTCGTTTACTAGCGTTTTTGTAAAGGTACCTTTACTAATGTTTTTGTTTTCTGTGTGGTAGAGGAACCTTGAATGATGATCCAACTTTTTTTAATTTATCTGCTTATTTGAATTCTTTTATTGAGTCTCAGTGCTATTAAGCAGTGATAACTGACAACTCATTCATTTGCAGCCTGATTATGCTTCAGGCAGTCTCAACTATTTGTTAACTATTGTGTCCACAAGAATTTTAATAGGTCATTTGTCCGGTACTGAAATATAACAGTACTTATTGATTAACCTAATTGAGAGCCTTTATTCATCACTTTCTTCTGTAGCAGCCGAAGGCTTAAATATTATGATATTGTTGAAGGGAAGGGTCCTGTAGCTGAAAAGGGATTCACAGTGCAGGTTAGCTATGGTGCAAGTTAACTGTCTTCTGCTTTAGGATAATAGATTCAGCTTGACATTTCTTTGAGCTACCCGAATAGGTGCATTTTCACTTAAAGCAGTGTCGAGTCGAGAATCTGAGCTCTTGGCTGGAAACCGCATAATTTCACAGGTTATTTACTTTCTGAGTATGTTATAATGAGATTCCACGGTGGAAATACATTGAAATATGCAAGAAGCAGACAAATTATTGATACTTACTTTGTACACTCAAGTATCCCTATGAATTCCAAGTTGGAGCCGCACCTGGAAAAGAGCGGAAGCGAGAGTTTGTGGACAATCCAAATGGCTTGTCCTCTGCTCAGGCTGCACCAAAACCTCCAAAGGCAATGTATACAATTGGGGGAAAGGTAACTCCATGTTTCCTTTCTACTTCTTATTGTATAACTGATCATCTTCTGTTTCCCTCTCTTTTCCTTTTTATATTACCAATCGAACTCACAATTTTTTCTTGCTGTATCGAGGATTGTTTTCATTCCTCGAGAGGCTGGCTCAAAAGGAATGAATGAGTATTAGTCAGGTTGCATGTCAACCATTTTCGGGCAAAGTAGCATGTTTGAATTATATATATGATGGTTTTGCCAAATTGTGTTCCGAAAAGAGACCATGTTGAGAAAAGTAATTTATATCTTCTACCAATTTTTATTTATTTTTTATTTTATTTAACGAAAAGGGTGCATTAACCATTTTTCAACCCATAAAATAATTTTACTCTCAAATTACACATTTTCTAATAAAATACCATTTCAAAATGTAATTTAGGGATTTAGTATCAAAATAAGTAATATATTTTATTTTTAAATCTCACAGTTAAAAAAAAAAAGAAATTTATTTACTAGCCACTAGGATAATTGCAATGAGTGGAATTTTTATTTTTTTATCGTCTCTCTCTCTCTCTCTCTCTCTCTCTCTCTCTACTGTTGGCTGTATAGCAAAGTGTCGGTTTGTGTCCGCCATAACTATATACGGTTGTAGAATTAGGGTTTTGTTAAGTGGATAAGAGCGGATAATGGAGAGCTCACTTAGGTATGGCGGAGACTCCAAATCCTTGAGAATCCATGCTAAGGAAATGTACCCCATCGCCACCGACTCCAATACTCTATTGCAGGTCCGTCCATTACTAATATACGTATAATAATTTATTTACAAATCAGTAGGTTGACTGAATATGCGTTATATGCATATGTAGCTCTTCAATTTTGAGCATTATGTTTACTTATGAGTGATGTTTTTTAAGCTTAGCCATACCTGCTCTTATCCCAACTGTTTTGGATTCTGGTTTGGTAATCAGCGTCGATTCAGAAGTTTTGCATTTTTATAGCCTTCGACAATGATCTATTTTGTCGGCTATAGAGGTTTCAAAGTGAGCTTATTGGGACGTGAAAAGGCCATTTTTTAAATGAGATAAGACACTTTTATGCCGAAAAGGAAACGAATAAGAAAAATGAAGGAATGTGTAATGAGCACTATCTGTTTGACCTGTTTCTCATCCAATGAAAAAGTGTGTTTCTGTCTCTCAATGGATTTCTGTAGTAAGACTTTTTTATTTCTTTGAATTTCGTTTTATTTTACCCTCAAAATATGTTGCTGAGAACTGACTGTGAATGTGAACTACTATTGTATAACTCTGCTGATATTCATACTGTCGCTAATAGTTAGCTTGATCTTTATTTCTTAACTAACGAGTTTCCTGAACTCGTTTCCCTCATGGGCATGTTTCATTGATATTGGCAGCTTCATGGAGAGCTAGACACAAGGCTTGGAGCTCCAACTTATCTTAGTGCGATGATAAGGCATTTCTATCCTGATGTACACACTTTTCTTTTCTTTGTTTATTCTTTTCCCACAATTGAATTGAGGATAGGACCATCTTGCCCCCTTCCCATCCCGTTATAGAGAGAGGGGAACAAGAAAGAAATATTGGGAATGGAAAATTTTTTGTTGCTGAATGATTTTAGATTGATAGAATTAATGATGATATATAGGTATCAGCCAGCATTGGCACAGGTGTTCAATACACTAGGCACGACAAGTTAAGGTACAGTGTTCGTGGAAAGAAGACATATCCAGTGACTAACAATGGGTTGATAAACTTTAACATCAAGGGTCGATTTATTATTGACAAGGAATTTAAAAAGGTTGGAAGTTCTTTCATTCTGCAATGCATGTGCATGTGAGACTACTGATGTTCATAATTGTTCACATAAGCACAAAGACGAGTGTATACCGGGACCTATTTCATTATTTTAAGTTACATGAGCAATTTGTATACTGCAATGTTCTTGCAGAGGGAGTCCCAAGGAGCAGCTGAACTTAATTGGATCATCTTCAATTTTAAAAAAGACCAAGATTTGAGATTCAAAGTTGGATATGAAGTCGTTGATAAGGTATTTTACTTGTCACTGTTAGAGCTCTGGAACTTATTTTGATGCAAAGTTGGTCATTTTGGTCAGCATTCATTTCATGGTTTAATAACTAACAAAGATCGATACCAAATCTTGAATACTTGAAAGTCAAGTACAAGTTTCCTTGAGGAATGCTAAAGATTTTATGTTCGGTGTACTACCTTCGCTTTCCTTCTACTTATCTGGTATGCTAATGATTATAGCCTAGTTCGACAATGGGTTGAGATGACTTGGTACTTTTCAAATTTTCTTAGCCTTGGACAGTAACATCTTTTCTTTAAAATAAGCCAATTTATTTAGTACTTCCAAATTTTCAAATAATCAAATTTGTTTTCGATATTGAAACTGATTATTTTCTCTGTAGTAGCCATAATGGTTTAATGCTTTATTTGTTGTTCACTGATATATTTTCATTACCTTACTGAATCTATCGTTGTTATTCCAGATTCCGTACTTTCAGATTAAGGAAAATAATTGGACGTTCAATGCTGACGGTAAAGGCAAATGGAATGTGAGATATGACTTGTGAGAAGGAAATTTTTAACTGCATCTTTAGGTGAGATGTCAACTAGTGGCAAGTAGGATTCTCCCTTCAGATTTCACTTGTGATGCTAGTCATTTGGAAGGTGTATGATTGAAAATTGTATGTTGATGTCGATATCTGATTAACGTACGTGAACTTATCTCAGTTTTCATATTTCATACATGGTTACATTTGGGCCTTAATTCTCTGCAGAATGTAACTGCAGGCTCTGTTTGACACCCATTACAATGAGAATTTTTGGTAAAATATATTATGGATTAGTATTTTTTGAAAGAATGTGTAGTTAAAAAAGAAAGAATTTTTTTTGGTTTAATTGTAATATTATTTTATTAAAGAATGTGTGATTGAAAAGAAGCAAAAAAATGTATTAAACAAATGAAGCTCGCCTTTGGCAGTACTATGTCAGCTGTTATGGTCTTCGCTCGAATAGTCATTATGGTCAAGCCTCCCTTCCCCTGAACCATCCTTTGTCGAAGCCTGAGATGAAGCTGCAATAGGTTCGGTACATGAACTACCTCAAACAAGCAGCACTTTGACGATGAATTTGTGATTTTTGAGACAATTAACCATACGTGAAAGAATATGTCCTACATCGACTCCTATATATCCTTGTAGAACTCTAGGTGATGAACAAAAATCTAAGGAAATTTTAATTTGAAATGCTCTGTTTGACACCCATTACAATGAGAATTTTTGTAAAATATATAATGGACTAGAATTTTTTGAAAGAATGTGTGATTAAAAAAGAAGGAAATTTTTTTGATTTAATGATATTATTTTATCAAAAAATGTGTGGTTTAAAAAAAGAATGAAAAATGTATTAAATTTTTAGGAAAAAGCCACTTTGCCCAAATTTTGGTGATAGCTCGGTTGACCGACCCTCACATTCTGCATGGGTCCTACGTAAATTAAAAAATACCGATCCTCCCATGTGTGTATTCTGTCATCCTCTATATCAACCTTTATGTTCATATAGCTCAATTCAAAATTTTAATGGGCGTCAAACACATGGTTAAGTCTGTACCATACTATTATTTAATTCTTCCTCAATTTTTTTATTTTTTTTTCCTTTTTAATGCAAGATTGTGTTGATGAAATGTGTAATTCAAAAATTTTGGGTGTATCCCATGAAATGTAGAATTAAAATTAATTGTTGATTTTAACTTAAATTTTAATCAAATTTTTTAACGGTACCTTACAAATCATGAGAATATTACTGTAATATCGAGGCAAGGCCAAAGTAAAAAAATGTACTCACCAAGTGTCCAGATGTATTCTGCTCATGTTAAATATAACGATAATTGTTTAAATTTATCGTCTCAATTTTGTGGAAATGTTCTCGTTGGAAAGCATAGTTTTCAGATTGTTGACATGGCTACATCAACATTCTTCAGACGAAAATCTTAAATAACTTATTTAATTGGAGGTTTTATATGGAGTGCTAGTCTATTTACTGAAAATCAGAGGCCCGAGCATTTCGAATTTTTGGAACCTTGAATAAACAACATAAGGTGGAACCCATTCACCCTCTATGGAGTCACTTTTTTTTCAGTCAGCCACAATCTTATAACAGCAAAATAAATAAATAAAAAGTTTGGCTACTGATTGATGCTCTCCATATCCAAAATCCTCCCTGCGAACACAGAATGTCAGATTCTTCGTTCTCAAGAACAAAAATAAGGAGCAAGTCACTACTGAGTTCAAACTATGCTCATCTGGTTTCAACTGCTGCTCTGAATAAACAGGGCATTTGGCTAAACATACAATTTCACATGTTTTAATTCTGCAAATCAAGACCTGTAGAAGTGATTCAGACATACTGTAATGCTTCACCTGATTACAAGAGCCGGGCGATAAACATGAGGGCATGCCAAGAAATAATCAGGGGATTAAAGGCTGCAGCAAGAGTAAGGCACAGAAATATGAGTTTTTAGCTTCTTAAAAGGGCACATTTGGATGTAAATGCCAAGTTGCATCCTTGAACCACGCGTGACTTTTCCTGAACATGCTTTTGTCTTGTAACAACCATCCTAACCATCAACATGGCCACTCCTTCAATCAGACAAAAATTAACGTCCATAGATAGCTGTGCGCATAAACTCTAATTAGTAATTAAATGAGCATTTTGAAAACAAGCCAACCAGTTCACTGCCGTCTCCACACAGCCATAAATAGATGATGTGCTGATGCAACAAAGAACGCCCTCTTCACTAGATGTCAAACAAAAATACAGGCATGAAATTTCACTATAACAACACATCCCTGTAGACAGTTGAATGAAAACCAAAAACTCCAGCATGTAATATAAAGACTCGAGAATGACAGATAAATAATCCTACTAGTCTCAAAACCCCATAGGCACCATCTTGGTCAAATAATTTTAGATGAATAATTCTACTCCTACAAAGTTGGTATACAAAAGTGGAGTGCCAAAGTGTGTTGGCAAAATCTGGATCCTTGATTTCAAATGATTTAAAAATCTGTTTTTGAAATGATTGGTGTAGATTTGCAGCTTGTTTGGGAGTGATTTTTTTCGTCCAAAAAATTGATTTTTTGACTGTTATTTCACTATTCCAACCACCATATTTGACTTTTTCTCTCACGGGTGGATCCCACTTTTCCCTTACGATCAAAAAATCAATTCTCAAAATTAAGACTTTAGACCCCTCAATTTTAGGCATTTTAGACTTCTGCAACAATTTTAACCTAACCTGTTGCACGGTTAAGGCAGATCTGACCTGACCGCATGCTGTCATGTTCGCTCTTATCCTCCAAATTCGTCCCAATTGCTAGTCTGTGTCCTTTTAATCGCAGGATTCCAAGAGCTTCCTCAAGTTCATTTTGATTTTAAAAAAAAAAAATCCCAAAAAATATATATGTAAAATCACCAGTTAAAGGATAAATATTCCGTCAATCAGATAATGAACCAGAAGCAGAAGTAAGAAATGCTACAGAATATATTCCAACTATGTATTATACAAACAAAATCAGAAACTGACTGAAAAAATGAGATTGCAACGACAGATAATTACAAGCACCTCATCGTCTACAGATCAAATAACCTACCAAAATAGTATGATAGTTACATAAATGTACATAAATAGATGCAATACACACGCTAAAGCTTAGGGACACATTTACCTTTCATCAGCGTGATCTCAAATGATTTTGTTCCTTATTTCTTCCAGTTTTCTCAAAATCTCCCCTGGAGTTCTATCCAACTCATTAGCAATTTTACGCTGCAGATCCATGGGTCAAGTTGGGAACTGTTCGCACATATCTCCATCAATCACGTCCTGCAAATTTATTGCAAAGAATAAAATCCCAAACAAATAGGTATCACGGACAAAATAGCTTCGGAGATTGCATCTAGTATGATAAAGGATGCAAATTGCAGATAATTTGATGTAAAATGAAATGTTAGAAATTTGCAGTTGTTATAGCACCAGAATTGTGAGCATCTATATTAAGCTATGAACATTAGCCAGAAACTAAAACCTCTACAGTCCTTCAGGTTTTGTTTCCTCTTCAATACATGCATAGCTTGATTCCATAAAGAAGCTACACATACTATGACACATAATAGTAGAATGCATCATATGCTTTTAGCTGGAAAATATGAGAATTTTCTATGGCGCATAGACGCAACACATTTTAATAATCATCATTGAAGCACGAGACAAACAGAGTACATAATGAGATCTAAGAATGGAACCAAGTCAGAGATGCTAAATCAAGGGCCCCTTCTATGATTCTATCTATCATAGTGACCTTGGTAACAAGTTTTGCAAATCACAATGGAACTTAATGTATCCCGTGTTTCTTTTTACCAAGACATCAGCCCCTTGAAGCAATACAATTGGAATGTCAAAAAAGTGTCAACTTAGAGGGGACAGAATCAGCTACATTTCAAAATCTGATTCTTCTCAACTTAATAAGATTTGCATCTATAAACAACCACCCCACCTCACTGCACCGTACCCAATAAAAAATGGAACAGAGAAAGAAAAAAGGTAAAATAAAATAAAAATAAAATAATGCTGCACCAAGTGCTATCTCTATGCAATGCTGGATCAAAGTTTCTCCAGTATAATATAAATAAATAAATAAAAACCTATGAGTTGTGATATGTCGAGGCAAGTACTAAATTTTATTACATTGCAGGAAAAGATTAGTAACTGAACTTTACCTTAACTGGAAAGTAGGCAGATCTGTATGCCATGTGGTCTCTGCCACACAAAGGTGGGAGCTCCTGCTGCATGTGCTATCTCCAAATGACAGAAGAAGTCAACATCATCACGAGATGTGAAAGGAAGCAATGCGCATAAGCCCCCGTTAGTTTTTTTATACCCAATAAATCTCGGACTATGATGTTAACGTGAATTAATATTATTTTATAAGCATAGGTCGATAAATGAAATAAGTCAACAACCAAGTTCATGAGTTACACCCGGCCAAATTGTATTCCTTTATGGATGGCTTGAATCTTGGCCCGTTTACCCTTATAATGGTCCAACTTAAATCCTAACCCTAGAGTATATATATGGCTATAACCCTAGCCACTTTCTTATGATATATTGTGTGATTTTGAGAGAAGAAAAAGAAAATCCCGACTGCCCCCCTTTGTGTGAAAAAAAAGTCTCTAGAAGTGTTCAAAACGCTTGTATAACGTGTGCAATTTGTGGTTCCTTCATAATATACCTTTGTGGTATTTTCTCCTAGCCTTTGTGGCCACAAATCATCATATTTTTTTTGTCCTACGTGGATAAGATTGAATAGCAATCGAGGTGAATCAATTGGTTGTGGTATGGAGCTGATTGGACTGATTGTTGGTTGAGGAAGGTGCGTTGGAATGAGCTCGAAAATGACCGATTTGAAGATCTTTTAAGAAAGCTTCCGCAACAATTGGTATCAGAGTTTCAAGGTGGTGGTTTTGGCTCTTGAAATATAGAAAAAAATCGTCTAGAAATCGGCAAAAATGAACCAGAAATCAGATCGAAAAAACTGTCAAAATCAGTCTCCGTTTTTCACGTTTTCTGATCAATACGGAAGAAGTTTTGGGAAACGGAGACCACTGGCATGACATTCAGGTGGAGGCGAACCCTGCAGGGCGGCGCGTGTCGGTCAAAGGCGGCGCGTGAAGCCCACACACAGAGAGAAGGAGCCTTGCGTGAGGGTGCGT